AAAGAACGTTTTATTTATTTTCCATTAACTATTTTCTCAAAATGTATCGCGTTTCATTCATATTGGGTGTGTATTCACCGAAATGAAATGTACTCGGTGTGCATCCGTGTTCATTCACCGGAAATGAAATAGAAAAAACCAAGCCACTGTTGTTTGCATCTAAGAAGAAACACGTTGGAAAAAACACTATTTATTCCTACACAAGGACTTTGATCGGTCAAAAAAATTTTTCCCAATTTACGTTTAACGGGCAAAACTTTTTTTCTTGCTAACACCCTGAAATTATCATACAAACTGTGGTATCACAATGGCACTCATGTATTCTGTATTTATTCATTCATTCATTCATTCAGACTTTATTTCATGAGGGTAAACACTTGACAGTAAGTGTGAACTACCGTACATGAGAGTGGGCTTGATAACGCAAGTATAAAATGTTTCTCGTTGATGTGGCTTGACCGCTACAAAATATCATAAATAATAAGTTGGCGATTGATATTTTTCACCGTGAGCCTGCGATTTTGAGTTCGCACCAATTGTTCACTTCATTTATAAAATTCAAATTGTCACGTCAAAGTCCCCTACTTCCCCTCCCCCCGTCGTCCCATTATTGCAAAGTTTGTAATTTCCCCGGGGTTCACGGGCAGAATACATGGTTAAAATACCAAATTCCCCCTCGTTTCCCCCCGGTTGTCCCGGGGGTGTACCCCCCGGGCAGGCCGTTGATATGTGCATTAAGATATGGGTCAAATATCAACAGTTTTCTTGACATCTCACTCGATTCAATAATAAGTTGAATGGTTTTGTAGATGGAAAATATCGAGTGACGAATTCGTTAAATTAAATTAACACCTTATTCAAGATATCAGCATTAGCGAGCTTAAGCCAAGCGACGTTTTTTGTGAACACGGAAGCCACGCGAAAGTTGGCTTAACCATATGTATGGCGGCATTTTGCACCATAGCGCGCTCGTGTAAGGAAGCAAAAAAAACTTTAAAAATCTTATGTTTTGTCATATATGTTGAAGATTACCACAAACTGATACAGTTTTTAATTCAGTCCCCAAACGGCAATCTGTATTGGCTTGCAAATATCCAGGGTGTATCAAAAAAAGATTATCCAACTTACATTATATCATATGTTTATCCATTTATTTTTTTTCATACCAATAAAGATGATCAGGCTTTTAGCTGTCGAATGATACCTTAATGGAATCAAATAGCCAAATATGATCCGATTTAAAAATGCCGGTCAAAATCACATTTTTCTCCGTTGCTGAAATTGCATGTAAAGCTATTGTGTGAGTACTGAAATTATTCAAATTTGGGATTCAAATTTAAGTCACTTGAATCAAGATGACGCAACGCATTTGTAAAGCATCAAGTTTTGCTAAATTTCCACTCGTTATTTTGCATCGAAACTGAGTGATTAAAACATTTTACAGAACGGGACATTTGCAGACTGAACTCACGCAATTACGCCATACCGGCATACGTTTCCCAAAGAATAGAACAATTAGCTGAGGGCGTACAACGATTGGTTGAATAGAAAAATTTGTTGTACGGAAACGCGCAATTCACGAAAAAAACTTGCCATATGAAAAAGTCATGTCATGCCGAGAAAAGCAATTTCATGGCACCCCCTGGGGAATAGATTTTCTGTGGACTGTGGTTCAATGTATAGTACCCAGGGACGCCGGAACGATGTGAAGGCAAGGGGTGCAGATTTTCGTGAAAGGGCACTTTTGAATTGATATATACTAAGAGATGTTTCCAAAACATCGCGGGAGTTGAACTTCGCGTAATCCGTTTTCTATTTATTGGATGATAGATAGGGATGTGAGGGGGTTCTCCGCCAGGCGATTGTGCTATTCTTGACGCTCGATGATTGCATTTCTTGCGTTTTCTGAAGCATATTCGTAAAAGAATTGCACTAACATTTCTGACAATTCGCTATTTCGCTAAGGCAATCCTTTAAATTGAAAGGGCACCTTTGCCCCCCTTGCCCCTCCTGGTAAAGGCCAACGGGGGCAGCTGCCTCTCCTGCCCCCCCCCCCCAGTTCCGGCGTCCCTGATAGTACCGGCATAGTCATAAATGCTTAATTATCAAAAAAAGCTCCCAAGCAAAAAACTTGCCCAATACCGAGAAAATGGGTGAGTATGCAGTGATTATCCTCTATTAAATTGTTTTACATGAAAATGTGAAATTTTGTATTCAATTATACAACAAAAATGACTTGCATCATCAGAAAGCTTATAGAAACCTACATATATAAGGCATTTAAACCGGGTTTTTTTATATCTCAAATTGTTTTCAAGTTATACGCTGTCAAAAATGCGTTTTTGACCTGGTACCCAGTACTTATATTGCGACATTTTGGTCCAATTTTCAAATTTAAAACAGCAAACTCAAAGACTATTTGAAGAATAAAAAAACTGTTTAAAAGTCGTATACGCGGTTTTTTGTGATGCAAGTCATTTTTATTGTAATTGAATACAAAATTTCCCATTTTTGCTGTAATACAATTTAATAAAAAAAAACTAGTTTCATATTAATCTTTTTCGTATCTCTGAGAATGGTTCTGAAATACAATTTAATAGCCGGTAATCATTGATCTCCAATTTTCTCGGTTTGGGCAAGTTTTTTGCTTTGGAACTTTTTTGGTATAGCTACGAAGTAAAATAACTTTGGCCAACAGCCCACGGCCTAATAATAGACATAGAAAACGCGCTTGTCTGTCAGTTAAACCTGCTTAATTTAAATCTCGCTTGTCTTGTGTCCTAAAGTCTATATAGTCTTGCCCAAACAGCATTGCCATAGTCTGTGTTTACCGAGAGTATAAATACGGAGTGGTTTGCACAGATATCATCTTTTCAAAACGTCTGCTTTATCGGAAGTGGGTTTAAAGATGCGCTCTGAGAACAAACAATGCACACTACATACGAAAACTAATTAACACGCACAACAAGATAACGAGTTGATCAGATAAACACTATTTCCGCAACGTTTAATTGGACGGAATTGGCTGCCAACTCACAGACACGCCATTCTAGTGGTTAACAAGAGCGACGCCCTTCAATTTCCTCTTTCAAATAACGACTTTTGCCGACAAATATGAAAAAATATTATTTTTAAAAAACACTTAAATTTGTGAGAGATAACTCGTGCTTGAAGTTATGGCTACCTATTGTACTGAGGTGTTATGTTTCACGTCAATACGGCTGTGAGCTGGCCATAAACAACGCAGTAGGAATCGCAAATTTTTGCTGCGTGTAACATGTCAACACATTAGTTTTGCTAAATATGGACGCACGCGACATCTATAAGCCGATTTGGCAAACTGCGCGAGTTTGTTTGGCAACGTCAGGCGCTATTGTAGAGAACACAGAACAGCGGTACTATTTCCTAAATAGGCTGCTTTCTATGGCACCATGACACCGCAGATGCAGGTGGCCAACCTGCAATTATCAGTGTCTTCATTGCTCGTATAAGGGTCAACATTTCTGAAAGTTGACAACCGCATGCTGCCCTACAACGCTGGCCGCTCACCAAATCTCGCAGGATAAAGTCGATAAAGTTTCCCAGTCTAGTGACGTGACTAAAATATTTTGTAATTTCATAACTAGTCAGGTTACCGGACCGACCTCGCAGCGGAAATCTACAAAATTAGTTCTTTTCCGAAAAATTCTCCACTCCCAAAATGACTTTCATGATGCGGTGACTATAGTCTAGTGGCTGGCGCATACCTGTCTGCTTTTCCTAGGATATAGGACCATTTCATTGACTGGGAAAGTCGAGAGATAATTATATTGATTGAAATTCCGCTGCGCAATAAAATTGTGACTGGCTGGCATTCACTTCTGTGGTGTTTAGACTGCTCTATGATTATAATGGAAATAATTTATCTTTATCTCGCGGCAAATCCCATCATTCAACAATTAACAATTATTCGCCGAAGGCGAGGTGATTGCACAAGTCTTTTTGTATTTTTTGGGACTGAATTTATTTACACAAGTCTTTTGCGTTTTCTGGGACTGAATTTATTTTAATTTCGCTTATTTCTTTATCAATAACTTCAGACCAAACGGCTAGCCGCCATTTTGCAAACTTCGGTTTTGCTATATTCACGTGTAGGTGAATATAACCGATTAATACGTCAAATTTGACCAATCAACTTGTAAGATTTGTTAATTCACTTGTGCAAAAACACTAATCAGTTATATTCTTAGTGAAACTCGTCGATGCTGCAGCTATAATCGATAGATTTTCATAAAGTATATATAATTAGCATACCAATATATACATATTTCATAAAATAATTTAACACTCCTTTACAGAAAGGCTCCGGTCTTTAAGACCCAATCAAAAAAGACCTTAATTAGTTATACACAGGAAGAACATTCTTGTCTCAATGTAAGAACTTACTAAATCCTATCGGAAACAACTTAAGTCCTTAAAATTACAAACATAATACAATACACATACAACTTCAATCCCCATGCAGATTTTCAAATATTTTACTATATTAGGCGAGAAAAGAAAACATTGAACATTTTTGGTATGAAAACTTGGGAAATCTTCACCGAAATTGCTTTATGAAAGCAGAAAGAACTTTTTTGAGTTCAATCATGTACAATGATTATTTGATTGTACAAAACTTCTCAAACTCTGATCTATTGAAGTACATATCTTATAAGGTCGGTTTATACTATCAAACTTTCTGTGATCACAGTAGGAATTTTGCATGGGTAAATTCTAAGTTTTGAAGGATTTGTAAGAAATATTTGAGGGAACTAACTGACTTAGTGCTGAACACCGAGTCATATGCAGTTCCTCAAACATTTCTTACAAATCCTTCAAAACTTACTGATGCAAAATTCCTACTGTGTCTGTGATCACAGAAACTTTGATAGTGTAAACCATCCTTACATGATAAAATCATTAAACAGCTGTCACTATGCAACAATAGATGCAAATGATTGCTAATGTTCCCGTAATGATTACAATTCCGTTGCACATAAATCAGTCGACTGTACATTTCGCTCTTTGAAAAAGCTTAATCTATGCAGTTCCTGCAACTCAAGGTCCGTGAGTTTCCAATTCGCACTCAAAGTGTCTAATTCGTGCACTATTTGATCTAGGCGTTCTCCTCCGTGCGTGCTATCAGCGCACAGTTCGTTCGTAACAACTTGGGATTCGATTTCTTGATTAGTCTGCGAGCAAGGTAATTTGTCTTCAATGCTTGCTGATAACCGTTTTCGCTTACTCGCCCCATTTTCGACCTCGCTGCTATCCTGTCTTCGAATTCGTACTCTAAACGACGACCGTAAACCGCTGAACATCTTTCTCAAACTAGGCCGACGAGACGTCTGCTTGTTCGCATATTTCCTCGCTTCTGCTTCAAACAAACTCAGGGCGGTCCGATGTATCTTTATATCACCCATTGAATTCGAATACGACCTTTGTAGCTTCACCTCGACATGAACTCGCTCGGAGCTGTTGAACGACTTCGATCTTGCCACGAGTTTCCCAGCGCGATCCCGTCTCGCCTGTTCCTTGCGCCTTTGCGCGGCGAATACCTCCAACGTCCCGCATACCATTTTCGCGACCTTGTCATCAGCGTAAAACAATCCGATCTTTTGACAGAAATTTTTCGAGCTATTTAGAATATGGAATACATTATGAATGCATTCATAGTTCGTATAATCACCGAATGTCTCTTGCCAATGAACGCGAGCGATCTTTTCATCAATTACCATCAATTTCAAACGGTTCAATACGGGATGGTAAACCAATGCGAGTAGTCCTCTGTGCTGAAATTTCCAGTGGTGGCTTAACGCCGCTCTCATTAAAACGTCTTTGCTTTTGTTGAGATAGACACCGACTAAAGTTGGCGCGACGATCACTTTACAATCAGGATTTAGTCCTGCGACTTTATTTCGTACGAAAATCAATGTTTCATCTTTGACTGCCATTTTGTAGAAATACTTTCACCCTTGCCTTTCGTATCTCGTCAACTTCAGTATCGCAAACCAGTTTACAACGCTCTTGAGGTTTACAACTTTATAACAGGACTCCTATCAGTAATATTCAGTAATCTATATAGCCTTTGAAAACTCGTAGAAGTCACTACCCCAAAGCCTTTTCAGTTCAAACCAAGCTAGGAATAGCTCACCAATGATATAAACCAGTTCACTTCAACTCTTCGAAACCTTTCCAGTTATATTTTACAGCAGTATTCTCACAAACGCACAACGCGGCGGCCAAACAGTATTTAATCCCGACTGACAATGACTCGAAGTTTTATTGAAATAATTTGACCTCGCGTGACCCCACGCAATAACCCACGCAGTGGGAGTCCACAGTTATGGCTTGCGGCTATTATGAGTGGCTGAATGTCATGATTTAACCACTATGATTTTCAAATATTCCTTATAGCTGAACTTATTTTATTTCATACTGAAGAACTTTACCAGTTCTAAACTGTTCTTCATAGAGGGCTAGTAAAAGACATTTCTAGTGCGAATAGCTCTATCAGTTCGCCTTATGATTCAGCAAATTGCTTCCGATAGAATTGAAAAGAAATGTAAATTTCAGGTAGATACAAGCAAAATAATGATTGTGTGATGGCTATCTTAAGACATATGTGACTACGTTTGTTTATAAGCAATTCACAACTTAGGTAACTCACATGCTTAATTATCATTACACGTGCTGGTTTTAGAAGCATCAGAATAGAACAAAGCCAAGGCAAGGCGACTAAGATTTAGAATTATCTAAATGAGCGAATAACTCTTATACATAACTCTAATGCTTAGTTACTTTATTATCAAGATTATTTATATCAACAAGGATTTCTTAAATCATCGAAACAAAACTGAGTGCCCAAGTTCAACGGAGTACATATGTACTTTCTTGAAAGAAGTACAAACTCTTTGTATATATTCTAAGATGTTTTACGGTTTTAAAACTTCTTTCAAAAACACAATTTAATTTCAAACGATTCTCTTGAGTTTAACGTTGATTACACTTGCGTTGTGATAAAAAATCTTTAGATTTTATCGAGTATGTTAGAACGTGCAGGAAATACAATCATGTGTTAAAAATTTCAAAAATTTTGAACGAGGATGTGCCCCTGACCTTCGTCGATAATAGCTTCCGCGTCAATTGAATACAAATGTTCATGTATGCAATATTATGCTGCAAGAGAATCACGTCCGGTATTTTTGCAATAATCATAACCTTCTATGAATAGTTAATGAAGATACTGCGTAGTGAAACAGCAAAAACAATATTTGTTCTCTTTACATACCCTTTTGAAAGGCGGAAGTATAACTATAGAGGCTGATTGCGAGGTTGCGTCTTATTGTCATCCCCATAATGTTGAAGCACCAACTAAAACTGTCCAAAAATATTGGACGACGCATTGTTTTAACCTGAAAAGTAATAAAAAATAACCTAAATATACAGTAAACAAGTGTGTATACTGATTTACTAGAAGTTACTATCGCAAGGAAAGTGCTGCCTCATCCCGCCTTCCAGTATATAAGCACGTAAGGCACATCGCTTTACTAGCTGAAAAGTAATACAAATAACCTAAATACACAGTAAACAACTGTGTATATTTATATTATTTATTTATCAAACATTGCCATCATATGTATATACAGTAACTCCTGCACGCTAGACATACAACTGAATACAAAATTTGCAAAATTTCGCATGGGTATATTTTCCGCATTTTACAACATTTCGCGGTCAAACTTTGCAGTTTGCTAAGTTTAACTGACATATGCTCTTTCTCAGTTTTGCTGCCAGGCTGTGGTGATATGAGATTTTGTTCTTCTTGCCTAGATCAAAATTTAGTCTATATAGCTGGAATCAACTATTGAAAAGTAGTTTTCTGAATTCTGTACTAAATGTTCCGTTTTTCGACGTAATATAATGAGGTATAGTCTGTTCCATATTTTTGTTGCTCGGATTTTGTATGATTTTTGATAGGTTGACGTATTAAATTTTGGTATTCCGTATATAAGACTATATATATATGTTTGTCAGATGATCTTTGTTTGTCTTCGTGGTTGAAGAATGAAGAGCAATCCTAAATCGGGTCAAACACTCACTGTTGCATGCCATTTTTCGATTCCGGAAAACATAGAAATGAAAATCTTGTTGCCGAAAAACATTTCTCTTCAGAGACAGCTAGATCCAAATGTTTGAAGATTTTGTGATTGAACTGCCTATATGTAATATGACAATGCTGGTGAGTGGTGTTAATAAAAGGAGAATGATAAGTCGACGAACACAAAGAAACAACATGAGGTCAATGTATTATTCCTAGAAGAGCCCTGAACACAGCCACATCACATGCTTCTCAGCAAGATATGGAATGCATATACGATACAACAAAACTGAAGTGCAGGGCAGCTGCCAATAGCTCGGGCAATGAAATTTAAAGCTACAGTTGCGATGACCCTTAGAAAACATAACACGCTTGTTATCAATATACGCATGCACAATTTGGAATGCACATAATTCATATACTGAGATTTAAGAGCGCTGCGCAGCTGACATGCAGAAGCTTTTAAAATCGTAGGCGAAAAACAACATAGACGAACGTGACTGGACGCTTATGTTATGAGAACTGTATAATCACCAAATTGTTTTGACACGCACGTAACACTGAAGTGGATTATATAGTACACAATGTACGTGGGTTTTCACACCGTCAGTTTCATGAGCCCAACCAACTGCAAATAAGCTGAAACAATGAGTTCAATTATGTTATTCGATTTGCTACGTGATAAAAGCGATGTTTATTGAACACAACACAGGTTTGACTGCACTATAGGTCAGAGCGATTAAATTGTTTACCATATACCTATTGTAGTATTGACCTGGCATGTGTTTCGTAGCAAATGAGACATTCTTTGATTCGACAAGGTGTAGACAATGGGAAATTATATAAGACTTTTCAAAAAAACTGAAAATCGATTTTGGTCTTGAAAGACATCTATCTCGATCTTGTATTGGTAATAGTATGGTTTATGAATGCAATTTGGCCGAAAAACATACACTTTAGTCTTTACGTCACTGGTGATCGAGTCCTTCCGTCCTTTTGGTAGTCTTTCAAAAACTCACCGTGCATTTTTTTCCAAATTGCACTCGAAGCCATACTATTACCAATGCAAATTGTTCACTGTATATAGAAATTAATATTGTTACCAAATTCTTGTAGTGGAAAACATTTAGTATCGTTCGTTCGCTTCTATATTAAACATTTAACTGGCATGACACCTAGCTTCTATTTAATACAGCGCGTAACTCGGACAAAAATTTTAACTGAATTGCTTGACGCTACGCCTAATTAGTTCTATCTCATTATAACCACAAAGGCATGCAGTTGCCATGCAGGATCATATACGAGTTGGCGTTCGATACTTCAATCCATGTTCACGTACAATTTTCTAAACTAGTTTTACGCGCATCTGCGCATGCACGTTGACGTTGTTCTCTGTTGTGTTTAGTTATTTCCTCTGTGCAAGGAATATTAAACATCTTTCGCAAGCGTTTTAATACCTTCATATGTTTTCAAAGCATGAGTTTTCAAAGGAATTTCAGCGTATATACGCTGTCGTATCCTCATGGATGCTTGACGAATGACAAGCAGGGACGTCGCTATGGGGGGGGGGGGGGGGGGTGTAACACCCCACCAATAATTCAAACGTTGGTCAAAGTTGCCAAAATGGAACTAATATTTGCTTACTGAAATTGAAGGTAAAATTCGGGATAAAAGATGCTCGAAGTTGCTCAAAGTTATGAAATGGTTCGCAATCAGTTTAACAATTTTAAAGCTTTTGTTATGTTTGCGGTGAACAAATTGGAAGCCTTGCTTATCTTTGTCGAAACATTTTGAACGTGCAGGTGCTTATGTTAGTCCGGAAAATTTTTTTGAACCGCCCTGCGACAACAATTTCGGGAAAAATGTGTACGACTTGGTCAAAATCCTAGGAAATGTTGGTCAAAGCATGACGACCCCCCCCCTCCAATGTTGATGGTTTCGCGACGTCCCTGATGACAAGCATTTTTCTGCGTGTGCGATCATACTTCCTATACACGTCTCTTTTTCATCCCTGATTAGAATTTAGTCGCCTACTCGCGCTGCGAAGTTACTGCCTACTTATATATCAAGTATGTCTATAGTACGTGACCAGGCCAGCCAACGCATGAAATTTTCCCTGAGGACTCCAGCATAAAACACTCCAGCACAATATACGAACTACGAGGAGTTCGATGAGAGCATTCGTATTCTTCAACAATCAGTTTCAAAAGTAAATGAATGATATTTGGCGAGAAAGTTGAGTAAAGTTTATAGTGATTAACCGATTGTGCAGCAATCGGAAATTACCGATTATTCATGGAATTTCGTGTTACAATCTACCCGATGGCCGATACCGTTTTTATAATGACGTCATAATATCAGTCGACGAAGTAAAGATGACGTCATTCATGTCGATTTTTTAACGATAATTTCCAACGTAACATGTTACTGCAACTAAAGATCGTTAAAACCCGTTAATAAATGCATATCATTTTTGAAGTGCGTATTTTCTCAACAATCGGTTTTAGACTGAATCGCCAAATAAAGATAATTCTACCGATTCTGATTGTTTACCCGATAAGACAAAAGTCGGCCCGATGCCGATACCGATTATCGGTCAATTAGTAAAGTAGTTTATGTGAGAGCGCTGCACCGGAATCGCAGGGCTGTAGGTTCAATTCCTACCAGAGGACCTTGTGCTGCATTTTTCGCAGTCGTTCCTGGTCAGGTCTTAAAATGTATATAGTACCCACTTGGATGACAAACCTTAAGAACAGCATTCAAATATTAATACACCAAGTGAAGTGCAAAAAACCAGATCATTTATGTAAATCAGCATGACTTGAGCCACATACACACACTCCTTCACGGTTA